AAAAATTATGCTACATAATTTCTCTACTTCATTTCTATATATGTGGTAACCCTGTTAATAGCATAAAAGTTGTTCGTTCTATGGAATTTGGGTAGATAATGATTAATGATAAAAATTAAGAATGGCAAATTGTAATTACAGCAATTTGCATGGCATTACCCTAAGAAATATTCAAATAATGTTTTTTCATTTCATTTTTGCCATCAATGAAAATTTCATAAGAAAATTGGTTTGATTCTATTGAAATCCCATATTTAATAATTCATAAAGTACAATTTTCCCATTTTTTTTAACTTTGAAAGTGATGTAAATTCATTCGAAGTCATCAAAAGTATGTAACTTTCTTTTAACACTAGATTTCTCAAGGAAGACATTTTGACTGTTTTTTAATTTCAATTAGAAAAACAATTATGTATATAATGACACAATTTCTTAGAATTTCTTAGAATATATTTCTTTTCAAATTAAGTAAATTTTTTTATTGTTAATACTTACTAATAACTTTTTATATGGCTGTAAATAACATAAAAAAATATTAAAAATTAATTTTAAACAAATTTTTTACACATTAGTTATTCTTTCACAATGTAGTCGTTTTGACTGCTTTTGACTTTTGGGCAATAATGGTATATACTAAGTTTCTTTTCTTTTTCTAGTGTTAACTAATACTTTAAGGTATCCGAACACGTTGAAAATGACCAAATTCGGACAAGACCGATATTTTTGTTTTCTATTTTATTTAATACATCTATATTTTGGCTTTACAAAACATACTTTGCTTTGATTCTATGCTTCTTAGAGGCCAAGTTACAATCAATTTTATTAAGTTAGAAAAACCGGAAGTGTGTCTTTGATCAACCAGAAGTGGGCATTTAAATTGTTCGAAATCTATCATGGTGAGTCTGATCACACAAAATATTACAAATGTATTTCTATAAAACTTTTTGCACCTGATATTTATGCTATTTTCTAGAGAATGTACTAAAATATTTCTTATAGTATGAATATTATTTGAGTTAGGGCATGTTATTAAAATAATGGTCTCATAAAGGCGTTATTTTTCTTATAACGTTTACTCAATCATCTCTAAAAGTTTCAAATTTTAATAAAACATTAAAATTTTAGTACATTCTCTAGATAAATGCCTCTAGATTGTTTTGGAAAATTCTTTTACTAATATAAGTTCATTACTTTTTTCTCTAATTGCTTTGAAGTTTTACAAAAATATTGCTAAAATTTCACATATAATTGTGATTTTTATGAAATTCCGGCAATTTATTTTAAATATTGTTGATTAAATATTAGTATTTATTGGTATTGAATCCTATAAAAAAGCCTTTATATGTTTAAATATGTTATTTTGTCAAAAAGTACTCTGAACGTGTTCGGATACCTTAACAGCAATAACATTACAAAATAAAATCAATTTAATATTTAAAACCATAAAATAAATGTATTAACCTATATTAATATATATTTTTCAAACCATTCGAATGCAAATCCTTAAATATATATTCACATATAATATAAAATAAAAAAAATGTCTCTAATGTCTTAACAATTTTACTTATGAAATAACTTTTTTAAAAAATAAACTATAAATAATAAAAATGAAGATTTGTATACTGAGATGGCTGGTTCACCAAAAAACCCTTATCTAAATCCAAGAAGATAAAGAACTATTTGAATATTCAAAATTTTATAATAAAAGTTTTCATATAAATCATAGCACATATGTTCTGCAGCAGATTGTGTTATATATATATGTATATATAGTCTAATTCTCTACAGACAAGAGATAAACATTCACCAATCACATTCGAAAAAAACACAGAGACAGTAAAGAGAACATACAATGAAGGACACTAGATGAAAAATTATAAAATGGATGCTGCAGTATTATAAACATTGCTGACTTAGGACAGCTAATATATAAATTATATAAAAAGTGGGGTTGAACATGTTTATTGGCCAGCCAACCTTCCCCCTTTATGTAAATAATACTGAGCAAAAACCTATTGAAAGTAATGGATAGGAATATCTGAATCCATTACAAAATAGAGGTAACTTACCTAAAAATTGCACTTGAAAATGCAGAGCCCGCGCTAAATCTGAGTGCAATAAATAAGTTATTGCCAGATTCTGAACCCTAATGCAGATTCAAAGCATGAGAATGGCTGAAATGTAGCACTTAACAAAAGGTATAAAAATAATAGAAAGCAAAAATTAATAAAAGAGTTACGAAAACCATAACTTTAGAGACACTAGAGTATATATGAATTAAATAATAATAATAATTTTAACTAATAATAGAATATGGAGGTAACTATAATAACTATGAAATGTGTAAATTTATAGTATTAAACTATAATTAATCTAAGAATTTTTAATCCTTACAATATTGATTAGCTTTATTCATATAACTATTAATAAAAGGAATTGGGTATTTCTGATTTAAGCAATATTTAGTAAAATGTTTATAGTTATTTATTATTTCTGATTTTTTTGACACTAGAAATTTATTGCGTTGTATATAATTAATAATAATATTTCTAAATATAGAAATATGTACATTACTCTCCCAATGCGGAACTTTTATTATATTGAAATTAAAATCTTCTCTTTTATCATAAATATTAGAAACTATTACATTATCTATTAATTTGATATGTATGTCAAGAAAATTTGCTTCCTTGTTGTTACTGTTTGTCTGTATTAAATTAAGATATTGTGGATAAAAATTAGTATCAGGTATAAAATTAGTATCAGGTATATATATATATATATGTATGTATGTATGTATATGTATATGTATTATTTATATAATATTTATATTATTTATATTATATTTATATTTTCAATAGATATCCTATGGAGCCACATCTCCTGCTCTTAGTGATCGGGAAAACTTTCCAATGTTCTTCAGAACTGTGGCTCCAGACTCATCTCACAATGCAGCTCTCTTATCATTCGTCCTTTACCATAAATGGTTTACGGTTGCCACTTTGCATGAACAAGGAGATAAGCACTCTCTGGTGAGTTTAACTTGTTCTTTCGTCCACAAAGCAACAGTCAAAAAAAGTCTCTTAGAATCAAAAGACTAAACTATTTTATTGTAGAATATATACCCTACTCTTTTTACACGGTAGATGCATTCCTTAGAAATCCGTGCAAAAATAAATTGTGTAAATAAATATATGTCACCTATGGTAAATTTAGAGATGTGTTCCACAATTTTAAGAAATCGTGTAAGATGAAAAATCTCTAAATATTTTCCCAAAAAAAATCGTACTAAAAAAGTAATAATAAAATTTATCTTACACATTTATAATACAAAAACAATTCATTTTTTTACAAAAAAAAAAATTTTAATTAGCGCACAGTGAAAGTTAATTCTTTAAGGTATCCGAACACGTTGAAAATGACGAAATTCGGTCAAGACAGATATTTTTGTTTTCTCTTTTATTGAATAGAGCCATCTTTTGGCTTTACAAAACAGATTTTGTTTTGTTTCTACTCTACCTAGAGGCCAAGCTACAATCAATTTTATTAAGTTAGAAAAACCGGAAGTGGGTCTTTGCTCTACCCCAGAAGTGGGCATTTAAATTACTCGAAATCTATCATGGCGAGTCTGATTACTCAAAATATTACATATGTATTTCTATAAAACTTTTTGAACCTGATATTTATGCTATTTTCTAGAGAATGTACTAAAATATTGCTTATTGTGTGAATATTTTTTGAGTTAGGGCTTGTTATTTAAATAATGGTCTCAAAAAGAATGTGATTTTTCTTATAATGTTTCCTCAATCAACTCTAAAATTTTCAAATTTTAATAAAACATTAAAATTTTAGTACATTCTCTAGATAAATACATCTAGATTGTTTTGTTAATATTTTTACTAATATAAGTTTATTACTTTTTTCTTTAATTGCTTTGAAGTTTTACAAAAATGTTGCTAAAATTTCACTTATAATTGTGATTTCTGTGAAATTTAGGCAATTTATTTTAAATATTGTTAGTTAAATATTAGTATTTATTGGTATTGAGTCCTAAAAAAGCCTTTATAATGTTTAAATATGTTATTTTGTTAAAAAATGCTCCGAACGTGTTCGGATACCTTAAGTATATTCAACACACAAAAATTATAATTGAAATTAGGAATAAAACTATACTAAAACTAACAACTATGCATTTCTTCTTGATAACAAGCGTTCACGTGTATTATTAACTGGATAAAAAATACTATCAGCACTAGATGTGTTAGATATGTCAATAACACAACAGTGGGTTTTGATTCAAATGAAGAATTTCGTTCGTCAGCCTCAGTTAGTTATTGTTACGAAGTCTGTTTCTAGCAGCTATTTATTGCTCAAGTTACTTATATAATTCTTGTGTGTGTGACAACCTGCAACCCAAAACTCAAGATTATGTTGAAAATTTAAGGGGATCAAGATTAGAAAATGTTGTTCCATACTTGTAGCAAATTTCAAGCCCTCGCGAATTAAATCAGGTATTAATAGCTAAATTTCACCCTCGACTTTGCCATTATCGACTCTTTTATTATCATAACCTGTCATGAATTCGATCAAATTGTCCTCATCCAGTGGACATGAATCCCCAAATTTTTTTGGAATTCATGCTAGAACAAAAAATTCGTGTAAAAAAATAGTAATTCGTTAAATTCGTGCACCGTGTTTTTTCAAAATTGTGCAAAACAAGTAATTTAAAAAAAAATTAAGTCAATTCCTACTTAGGTCAATAAAGAAAAATTTATTTTAGTTATTTTTTATTAAATAGTTGCAATTAATATCACAATATAAAGTTACAGAATCACAATATAAAGTTACAAAATAGAAAGCAATTTTGCATTTTCCTTTCTACATATGGTATTGGACTATTTTTTGTTTGTTTTTATTACTATTTATTCATTAATTAAATTTAACTATTCTAATAAAACCGTATAGTAAAAAAGAAATCACATTCTGAGAAATTGAGCCATCCCAGGTGGAATTCGAAACCACGACCTCTGAATAAGAAATCCAACGCGCTATCGATTGCGCTACAGGACACAATGAGCGGATTTCCTTTTTGTACATGGTGCTGGACTATTATTTTGTTTACTATTTATTCATTAATTAAAAAATTAATGAATTAATATTTGAAAAAAACTGTAATAACATCACGTGTCATTCATTACAAGTTTTAAAAAATGCATTTGAACTATAATAGATGGATAAATTGAAAGTATTTTATTAACGATTGAAAATTTGAACGATATATATATGTATGTATGTATATATATATATATATATATATATATATATATATATATATATATATATATATATATATATATATATATATATACACTCAGGAACATTGAAAATAGTGACCGAAGAAGGAAGCTAAGTGCAATCTCGAAACTTTGCAAATAAGTACAGCGTAATGTAATATGCAAATGATCCAAGTTTTGTGCCAATACGCATGCTCATACACACCGAGGTAGCGCTACAATCAGGAAGAGGGTGCTATATAAGCCAGCGCAAATTCAAAGATTCATTGAACGTGACGATTACCCGCCGATTGTAGGAAGACTTTGATAAGCGAAACATGCCAGGTAAACGTGCTAGAAAACATTTCTCACAGTTAAGCGAGTTTGAGAGAGGCCTGATCATCGGGATGGAAAGTGCAGGCTGGTCGACGCGCCATGTTGCTGGCCAGGTGGATTGTTCGGAGTGTGCCGTTAGAAATTGTTGGCAGCAGTGGACACGAGAAGGTACCCACGCGCGGAAAACCGGGTCTGGAGCGACCAGGAAGACCACGAGGATAGAGGATCGAAGGATCGTGCGGCAAGCACTTGTGTACTCCACAGTGACTCGTTCAACGATACGAGCAGACGTAGGCGTAACAATTGTTCCACAAACAATTTTCAGACACCTTTCAGAAGCAAATCTTAAATCCAAGCGCCCTTTCCGTGCACTCCCTTTAACACCGGAACATCGGCAACTGCGTCTACAGTGGTGCCAAACCAGATCAATGTGGAATGTCACAGATTGGCAAAAGGTTGTGTTTAGTGATGAATCCCGGTTTGTTTTGGGGACAGATAATAACCGTGTACGGGTGTGGAGGCTCCCTGGTGAGCGGTACGATTCCCCCACACTGTTCTACGTCACACTGCCCGCACAGCTGGTTTAATGGTCTGGGGGGCCATAGCCTATGATAGCCGGTCCACTTTAATTGTGATGCGTGGAACCTTAACGAGGTAAACTTACGTTGATAATATTCTTCGACCCCATGTAGGACCTTTCGTAATTGGTCTCCCAGGGAAAATTTTCCCGCAAGATAATGCTCGTCCGCATACAGCAAGAGTTGCTCAAGACTTCCTACGTCATTTTTAAACTCTTCCATGGCCGGCCCGCTCCCCCGATTTGTCCCCTGTAGCGCACGTGTGGGATCAGCAAATACGGCAGATGCCATCGTGTTACTATGTACATGATTTAGAGTTGGCTGTTCAAGATTTGTCGGTCCATCTGCCTCAGGACAACATAAGGTGTCTAATCAACTCAATGCCGGACCGTGCGGCGGTATGTATTGCAGCTGGAGGTGGTCCAACGCGCTATTAAAGTTGCCCAGTATTTGTGTCGTTGCACACCCTGTATTCGTTTAATTGTCTTGTTTTTGAGATCAAGTGAATCTCTCATCTGTGTCATTATGTGTATTAAATTTCATTTCAATCCGATGCTTTCTTCTTGGGTCGCTATTTTAAATGTTCCTGAGTATATATATATATATATATATATATATATATATATATATATATATATATATATATATATATATATATATATATATATATATATATATATATATATATTATATATATATATATATATATATATATATATTATATATATATATATATATATATATATATATATGGGAAGGTGTATTAATTCCCCCTAGCATCCTTTTACTTAACTCTTTTTTAATATTCAAATAATCTTTTAATTATTTGGTTCGAAACTAACACCCTGATCTTAATCGCAATCGACTAATATTATTACATCATAAATCCCCTTCCGCCCATTGTAACCAATTAGAGCTCTTATTACTAAAATGCCACGTGGTCTTCAGCGTCGGGTATAAAAACCGATGTCTCTGGAAATCCCGTCTCTTCTCTCTTTTGTCTGCCTTCCTTCATCATGTAATCAGCCGGCTGCGACGCATTCTGTGTTTCTGCCATGATGTTTGCTTCTTTTTATGTGTAATGCCGTCCCTATTGGATCTTTATGTGTTTCCAGATGTGAATAAAAAAGAATAAGGATTTATATAAGTGCCTCTTCGATAATACCGTGCTCGATCACGCCCCACGTAACCCAGAAAATCACACCATTGGCCACGCCCTACCTTTGGTTAGCTACAGTAATAACATCCACTCGTCACGTCTTACAATTAGTTTTACCAATCTCCAGAAATATTATAGAAATATTTCATATATATATAGGGAGAGAACGAACTAATAATAGGAATTGAAAAAGATCGTATAAAAAAATAGTTGGGTGTACCCACTTATAGTCCCAGAACTTCAATACAATTTTAACTTAATCGAAAGAAACCTAAATGTTATGATTCAGCTCAATTTAAATGTGGCAATTTAAAATACTACATTTTATCGACTATGATACACAAATTACTCTATTTTAAAGTATCATTCGAGCATAGCTTACTCAAATTTCGCATTTCAAAAAACTTCAAAACTTTTTTTTTCGCAATTTTTTTTTAAAGAAATGTTTAAATTTCCCTCATTGATCTGTAGCTTTTTGTTGAAAAATAATCTCTTATCTTCTCCGGAAGTCTGCTGCCCATCTCTTCATCATTGAACCAATCGTTAGTCTCGTAACGTACGTTCGCCGAATCATTTTCGCATTAAGACGAAATGAGTTTTCGGTTCTGAGGCGCGATTGAATGAAGGCAGTTTGAAGGAGAAATAGTTTTAATTTAGATCATGAAAGTTTGGTCTTTTTTCATGCAGTCGTGCAAGGATGCTTATTCAGGGTTATCGCGATTCTTGAGGACCGTTTTATTCCTTTTCCGTTAATCGAAAACTTTTAAAAGTCGTGCGAAAGTATTTATTTTCTGGTATCGCGTTATAAGTAATCTCTAGTCTTAAAATTCCGAGAAATGTACTGAATTTTATGATCGATGATATTGATTTTTTCAGCAAATGTAAAAGTGATAGAATGACTTTGTCAAAGTATAACAATAACATTTGCATTTCTTTCTCATACCTTTCCGTAATATTACTAGAAACATGTCCTTTTCTTCTCTTATTTCGAACGAAAGTTAGAATGTTCATCTAACAAAGTATACTTTTTCAGTATCATTTTAGAATTCTGAGTATCATGTAAAAACTCGACAAATATTCCTTAATTACGTTCCTTCCCTTGTTAAATTATTTTCAGTTTTTAGTTAACTTTCTCATTGTCACTGATTTAAAGCAAGATTTTTTTTTCACAGCACATTCTAAAATATCTTACACTCATACTTCAGTTAATGAAATGCAAGAATGTACATACTCATTTAACTTTTTGTGTTTTGTATGCTTCTGGACAATCATCGACGCTGCTCATCTACACGTGTGCTCTACACACGTGTAGATGAGCACTGTATTGTGTGCACTGCTCTGTATTGTGTATATGAGTACTGTATTGTGTACTGTATGTGCACTGTATTGTGAAGAAATATTGGAGAGCTCATTGCCTAACAACCTTATGGTCAATGGCTAGGCATTTGATAAATAAATAACATACTCACATTTAACACTTACTTCAAAAATAGAAACTGAATTTTTGCATTTCAAATTATAACACTTTAATCATTGCCTTTTTTTTCTAATATAATAATTATTACTCGATTATTCTAATGAATGCAATTGTAACAACATAATTTTAAGAAACCCTTCTCGACATTTTTAAATTGTTGCATCAATCTTGATTCTTCTGGATTTTTTGTCGAAACTGCTATTAAAGCATTTAACTGATTATTTATAAAAATGCATTTCTGAGTATAAACTCATTCAAACGACATTTAAATTGGCCTCGAAATTACTTTGTCAGAAGGCAAAACAAAATTTTATTCCTCTAGGTTGTATTAAACTTTTAAAACCTACACCTTTTTTCGGTTATATTCTTTATCACAAATGGCCACTGTAATCGAATGGTTATGGTCAGGTGCTCGCGTGGTCAGCTTGTCATAAGTTTGAGTCGAATTGCCACTGAAACCCCACTGTGTAAAGCGTCTAATACACAAATCTGTCGAGGCTAAAAGTCCACCCGTTGGCGGGATGTGGTAGTTTGGAGAGGAGAGTGCCAGCTTAGATGTTTTCCTCTTTACTCAACCGAGGTTCAAAATTTCGAAATCCATCCCCCATGTTACTTTATAGTGTAACGCTAATAAAACACTCACTTACTCAACCTTTATCAAGAAAAAAACCCTATTGAATTTCTGTTTAATCTTTAAACTGAAATGAAATAATTCCACTTATTCTTTCTGATTTCTGAAGAACAAATATTTCGTATATCAACAAAAATCATACAAATTGCAATTGATTGAAACGCTTTAGTCGTTCAATACTGTTCGACAAATCAATGGCTTAAAAACTCTTTACTTAAACTATGAGAAACTATTATTTAATTTCCCCTTCCTAATACTTTTAAGTAAAAAAAATTACAAGTTTTCCTTCTATGTTATTAGTGATATCAGCCTCCACTTTAGTTTACTTCTTGCTTGTTTGTTGTTTCTTGTTGGATTTATATATGTAACATTTTTTTTAGCATTCTGAAAAGATTCATAAAATAGTTCCTTTCATTTTTACTCAGTAATAATACACTGGACGTACCTTTCTGATGCAATAATCATCATGCACTATTTAATATTACTTTACACATTTTTTTAAGAAAAGCGTCTTTTCCAGCCTATGACAAAGCTAAACACGGATTTGGAACAAATGAATGTAACAGTGGCTTTAACCAAGGGCGTAAGTGAACGAGATTATAAAGATCAAGTTCA